GGGTGGTACACCCTGGGTTCGGGTCAAAATTATGGATTATCTTATGAAGGCATTCTTAGCTTCTTCAACCTCTCTTACAACTATTTCGTCGCATAAGAACCCCCAAAGCTTTTATTTTTTCTCATACCGGTATATACGTCACCATCATTTTCTCTTAAACTCAATCTTTTATTCTTATTTTCCTCCCGTTTTTTTCAAAACGCGGTTTTTCTCTATACTTTTTAAATGTTTCCACCAGTTTTCATCCAATCTTTATGAAACGTGCACAGAATGAAGAAAAGGTGTAACTTTAAAATGTGTATGTTGTATTTTTGAAACATTATTATGGAATAGATTTTTGTTGGTAGTGTATCGAGTGTGGATTTTCACGAATTTTTTGTACCAAAGGGAAATAATTCTTTAAAAATTTTCTAATTTGTTTAGTAAAAATTCAACTGACAAATTTGTACATCTATTGTCTGCTATCATGAATGCAAAATAACAACATATTCCCATTAAACATAAATGCGGTATTCATTGCGTAAGACGTGTCAACGAAATAAATCCAGTATGGCCGATTTCTCCATGACAACGAAATATTTGTCTCACATTTGATTGCAGATTATTAAAACTCCTCACTATGATTGATATATATGTGAAATTTGGTAAAAATAAAAATTTGATCCCATGTAAAGCGAGATAGCCTTCAACGATCGTATCTTGTCAGTTTTACAAAATTTCGTAATCACAGTGACAAAAATTTTTAAAAATGAACGGGTTACTAGAGAGGGATGACAAAACAGGAATTGAAAAAAGGGGGAAAATATTGTTGGGGGAGGGGGCATAACAGATAAAAGTTCCTCTAATTTCAACATGACGAACATGATAATTCATATATCTTCAAATTCGAAAATGAAACGACTTGAGCTATCGATTATGCTTTTCAATAAGACAAATTCCCAGTACATTACTGTAGACTCCCTTATACTGCCTATTCTGATCAAATGTTTTGTGATGTTGATCCTCTGAAAAAGGGCTTTTTCTAAAAATTGGTTTTTAAGATTAGTTAGTGTTGGCCTATTCTATTGGGTAATTCTTAAGCTAGTTAATTGCATAACTAAATTGTATCAGCTTCCTGGCTGTCATCTAATGTTTTCCTTGATCTACACAGCCAACAATATCATGGGTAGTTCAAGAAGCAGGTCATTCACCCCCACACTTTTGTTCCTGTTGGTGACAAGCTTTGAACTCGGTACCTCTCAGACTTACGAGAACGCAAAGGCTATCTTTGACGACAAGATGAGCAGCGCGAGCTACCATACAGAGGTGAGACTTGAGGGGCATTATTATTTGTGGAAATACGTTGCTTTATATGCTATGCTTTAGTAGTAGTAATAGTAGTAGTAGTAGTAGTAGCAGTAGTAGTAGTAGTAGTAGTAGTAGTAGTAGTAGTAGTAGTAGTAGTAGTAGTAGTAGTAGTAGTAGTAGTAGTAGTAG